GCCCCGCCCCGCCCGGCTCTATTGGGCATTGGCATCCAAAGTAGGGACAGTTTCCAAGTCCGGAAACAATCCAAAGTAATATTGTGTCCGCTTTTGCCGTATCGGATTGTGTCGCCCTCCACCACCGCTACGCCTCCACCACCCCCTCTCTGTTTCCTCTTCCTTTCCCTCTCACCGCCTCTCACGCACTTTGAGGCTCGAGCTGCCGGGCCCAACCGAACTCGGCGGTGGACCTATGGATCATGTATTGATTTTGTCGCGTGGGTGTTGCGTCCGTTTGAGCCGAACGGCGACGGCGGCGGCCGGTGGCAAAGTGTGGTTGGACGTCGTCGGGCTCGGCCTAGTCGAGAGGGGAGGGGTGCGGGGAATCGAAGCAAATGGTCCGGAGAGTCAAGAGCCACAGCTCACATAACTCCCCCAAACTCCACTCAAAAACGAAAAAAAAAAAAGAAAGAAAAAAAAACTGTTTTGGCCGTTGCAGGTTGTTGTTGGTAAATCGCTAATTGGACTGACAGTGATTAATTTTTCTCCCTGTTTTTCTCAAATATTTTTTAAAGGCTTAGTTGAGGACGGCTATCACGGCAATAACCCATACCATAATTCAATACACGCAACTGATGTCACGCAGGCAATGCATTGTTTCCTTCAGGAAGAAAAGGTAATAGCTCGTTGACTGTCGTTGGAAATGCCCTGTCGACCCCCTCTGATCATGACTTAAATTCCATTTCAGATTCGTAAATACCTGACGCCCCTGGAGATCATGGCCGCCCTGATCGCTGCCGTGACGCACGACCTGGACCACCCCGGCGTGAACCAGCCGTTCCTCATCGCCACATCAAACCACCTGGCTGCACTGTACGAGGTGAGGAACACTGTCGGTGTAGTGCTACTGCGTGTCCTCTGGAACAAAAGTGATTTGTTATCGTACCTTTGTAAAATGTTAACTTAAATTTATAATGTACCACCGTATGAGGACTATGCTCAGATCCATCCCACCCACTAATCCACCTAAAACTACTTATGTTTCAGAATACATCTGTTTTGGAAAATCACCACTGGCGCAGTGCAGTGGGATGCCTTCTAGAAAGCAATCTTGCTGATCAGCTAAAAGATTGTCGCAAGGAAATGGAAGAACAAATAGCATCTCTAATTTTAGCCACTGATATAACTCGACAACAGGAATTCCTCACTAAATTTAAAGTATAAAACAATCCGCCTTTAGACCAATTAGAAAATGGTTTGGATACCCTGTTATAATTTATGGGGGGTTTTCTTGCAGAAATATCTTGATACCAAATCCCTTGATATGACAAAGCATGAGGACCGCCACTTTATCCTCCAAATTGCTTTGAAATGTGCTGATATTTCAAACCCATGCAGACCTTGGGATGTCAGCCGGAAATGGAGTCTAAAAGTTTGTGAGGAGTTTTTCCGACAGGGAGATTATGAACGCCAACTGAACTTACCAATAACATCCCTCTGTGATCGCACAACAAACTCAGTTCCCAAAATACAAGCAGGTGGGTAATGTTATTTAACTTGATTTGTCAAAATATATATCGTGTTGTGACAATTACTTTGCTAACAATTGACTTTCTGGCAGGTTTCTTCAAATTTGTAGTTGCACCTTTGTTTGAGGAGTGGCACAGGTTTTTGGATACCCCATTGTCACATAATATGATCAACCACCTTCGAAATAATCAAGCACGTTGGGATATTCTGTGTCAGCAAGAGGCTGACCAAGAAGTTAAAACCGAAATTTCTGAGGCAGAGGTTAGAACTATGCATAAATTTTAAGTATACTGTCAATTAGTTTTCCAACAATTCAATTAATTAATATTTTCAGTCCCAGGTGGCGGAGGCCGAGAAACTAGGGGAAGAGGTTGAGGAGGAATATGACAATGTGAAGGGAAGCAAGGAGCATCTTCTTTCGGAATCTCTAAGAAGACCATCACTGCCAATGGAACCAGATCAGCCAGATCAGCCAGATCAATGCACAAGTGGAACTGCATCCACCATAGGAAGACGCCACTCAGTACCTCTTAGTAGGCCGTCACTCCCAAAAACAATTGTTAGGACAGAGGTTTCTGGAATGGTATGCTCGTAGTCTGACAAGGGAACCCCGCCGAGTGTAAATTCCCGATTTTCATTCTACTTTAGGAAAGTTAAAGAGCTTAAATTTTGCTACAACTTTTGTTTCATAACATTTTTTGTGGGACTGCTTTTTACAACCGCTGCTCTTAAGCCCTAGTGATTCCCATACATTTCCCCTCCTAAACGTGGCGGTAGCGCCTAAATGGCTTCAGATGGGGCAAAACGGATGAAATTTTCGCTCGGAAGGCCACAATTGGCCGAGTTACCTTACAGAAAATATTCTTGAAAAATTAGCTGAAATGGCAGCTTTTGGAACGAATGCCCAAAATAACCCCTAAATATGAATTTGAGCCAAAAATTTGAGTGTGTCCTTCGATAACACATTTAGACCAACAATTTCCCAAAGTAGAATGAAAATCGGGAATTTACACTTGGCCGGATTCCCTTGTGAGTCAAATTATGCCCCCCTTTTGAATATTTTTATACATAAATTTATTGATTGTTCTGATGTTAACATTTTAGACAACTGATCGGGGAACTTGTAGACGCTTCACCTTAGTACCTGTACTACATTTGGAGGAAGATGAAAACTCATGTGGAGATGTGGCACTAGATGACTTTCTCAATCATTCTCAACTTTCCCTCCAATCATCCTGCTCTTCTTCTATGGGTGGGGACCGGAGTGGAGAGAGACCTGTTAGTGCAGAAAATCTCCTTCCAGAGCCAAGTATTGCATCAATAACAACAAGTACAGAGGCCAGCAGACTATCTACAGTAAGTAGTTAAGTTCATCCCTGTTGGTGGACCAAGTTCATTCTAGAATGTAGATATATGCGCAACTGATGAATCGATTTATAGGTGCTCCATGGTGGGAATGGTAGTGCAACTTCTCCTGGTACATTAGCTCCTCCACGCAGTTTAACAAGACAACAGACCTTCCCACCAGTACAACCTTATGTGCGAGCAAGATACATGTCCACCACCGTTGAGATGTCAACGTGCACTGAGGGAGTTGCAAACCCAACTAGTAGATCAAGTTCGTCCAGTTCAAGTAGAGCAGAACTTACAGGCACTGCGCTTCCTAAACAGGATGGATCACCGGTCAGTGCCTGCCTGTTTCATGACCTTACTGTAAACCTGCCAAAACTGGCTCATGCCATTATATTCTCAAACTCTGCTTTGTTATTTTCTTTTTGGACTCTTCTATCTTTTGAGTTTTCTCTTAATATCTTACACTCCACAGTTGGAAAATTTTGCTACACCCCAACTAAATTTCAGTAATTCAAGTGCATACATTGACACTCTCTAATTTCAATACCTTCTCATTTTGTAGGAAATGTTTTTATTATGGTTAGCGTTTGTAAATGTATAGCTTTCCTTTACTTCCCTAGGAGTTGAATGTCTTTCTCTCTTTTACTCTACCAAAACAACATCCTACCATCTGCTTGTATAAATATGCCTGCCCCTGCCTACCAAGCACAAATGGGGCTCTGACTGCATGATTTGATCTGATTTGTGAATGGACCAGATTATTTGTTTGTACGGTGCACAAGTCCTCCACTTCTTCATTTTTCTTTAATATATATAATTTTTTGATAGCACATATGTTTTTACACCAAGTGTTTCCCTGTCTTTTTATTGCCTTGCCTATTGACTGTTTTTATTTGTTGGTTCTTTTTTTTGCCAATTCTGTCTTTCTTGTTCTAAAATGAGTGCTAAGACTGCATTTTTGGCTAAAGGATAAACTTGTATCTTTCATCTCAATTTTTATGCTGCTCTAAATCCTATTCATCTTTTTATTCAAATGTAAAAAGTCTTCATATTTTGTCTAATATGATTATTTCCTTTCTTTTTCTTTTCTCTTTCAAGTGTGGACAAAATGGCTGTAATACTCCTCCTACTCCATGGACAAGACCATCTCGATCAAATAATTTATCGTCTCCAGTAGTTGATTCAAGTTCATCATCAGCTGTCAAACGGCATGATCCTGTGGAGCAGCCAAGTGAACACAAAACAAAAGCAAGCAAAGTTGCAAGACTCTCCCTCTCTGATCCCAATGGGGCAGAGAAAATATCTTTGGCCGCAGCTGCCTTGCGACTTCAGTTTAAGGAAAATGTGGATCCTCAGCTTGAAGTATCAAGCAGTGTAACTACTGTTCCCAGTGTGAGCAACATTCGCAGAAATGTTCCCCAGGTAAAAATTAATTACAATTGAGATGTGTTTCTTTTTATTTGACACTTTAGGTGTCACATACTAATTGAATTAAATTGGATTCCAGGGTTTGGTTCTTAGAAGAGGTTCTGCACCTGTGACATTAAGTCCGAGAGAAGATGTACCATTGGGCTTACCAGTGTCTTTGAGGCCAGGGATGGAGAGATTCTGTCGAAGAGGCTCTGTGCCTATCGACATCTCACGACAAAGTAGGAACTGTTCCAGTTTAAGTAGAGCACTATTATTTGTTGGTGGTGGTGGAGAAGGACTTGTGAGACCCATAGTGCAATAGGGATTCTGTTCTTATGTAGACTGGGCTATCACTTCAGCTAACTCTATTGAGTGAAAACACATATGCTCCCGGGAAAATCTCATTTCCACTCAACTGAACTTATTACTACTGTAAAATTTTCAGCTGATACAGCAATTTTGCTCTCTCAAAATACAGAATTATTTGTGCCTGTGCCAGTGCCTGACTTGCTGATGCCACCTTTACACATGTTTTTTTTTTCTGTGTTCTGGAAATGATGCTCTCATACCATCCTCAACTGAAACTGAAGGTCAAAATGACTTTTTACTTTCCACAGTGCCTTTTGCCAAAGTGTATCAGTGGGTGGATACATATTGTTTATATTGTGTGTAGATAGTACCTGTAGTGTACATGTGTGATGGTTTGTGATTATTTCCCTTCATTATTATTATTTTTATTTTTTTTTTACATTGGAGAAAATGGTTGTATATAATCATTACTTTGATTTCCCTCATCCAGGAAGCTTGGATGTGAGTGAAAGCTACCATTAAAAAATGTGTCTTGCTCTTTCATCAACACTGCACAAAATTTGGGTTGATATAACTTTTATTTTGACACATTTTTTTTTAAATTTAACTTTGTGATTCATTAAATTATCCAGTTATTTCTATCTAACTACTGTATCTTCGCACCAAAATTTTGGTTTTGCTTCTAGCTCAATTTTCTTCAAACTTAATTTTTTTCAAATAACGAATGATGTGATAAGAAGCAATTCATTCTTGTGGTGCCGATTGTTACTCAATCACCATTTATCAGTCATTCAATGTGTGTTTGTCAGATAGTTCTTTAATATAATTTGTTCATGCCCCCCTCTATTTGATGAGGACTTGGATTATGACCATAACATGCTTCTGATAAATAAAAATGGTCCCTCCGTCATACAGTAGGTCATCATTTTTATCAATTATCTCAAGTAACTTTGGGTAATAAGAATTTGTTTCTTAAAACTTTACTCAACTTTACTGTCCAATTTTTGATGTTTCTCCCATTTCCCATTTCATTATCATGAGTCCGTTTGCACGTTTTATACTGGTCAGCAATACCAAAATATGCAGTAGGGCAAGAGTGTGAATAGGATGAGCACTTTGTGTTTTACTGTAGATGAACCAGCATGCCATTGTGTTGTTAGAGTACTTACATCTACTTCTGTTTTATTCCTGTTATCGCCATACTTATTTATTATCATCATTCACTTGTTATCACAATTGTACAGGAATTTCCATAATTCTCATCTTTTTCAATTGTTTATCTGTTAATTTTCATAATAAACATTAATAACATCAGATTTTAATGTTCCAACTGAGGTAACATTTCTGTCAGTTTTGATTTTCTTGGAGAGTGGTTTGCTAGATCACTTTCACAATTTTAAATACATATCAACAAAATGAGCACAAAACACAAAACACCCTCTGAGTGTTGTAGTTAGTACATATCTTATGTGTAAATCAATGGGCAGTTTGTATTATTTGTTCTATAGACTGCATCACAATCAGGGTACACAATTACTAAGGCAGATTGCATGCATTAATATTCTCTCTCTCTATTACCTTCCACTTATATTAAATTTCAGGAATGGACGTTGCAAATTTCATATGAAACAAAGAGGTTCTCTATTTTGCATGTGCCGTGTAGTTCAGTGTAAATGTCCCCATATTTGCATGTCAACTGGTTGCAAAGTGTACTGAGAAACAGAGTGATGGTGGAGAGTATCTTTTCCTAAGCTAAATTGTCGTTACTTTTAATATCTTTTTCTCATTTCTGTTTTTTTTTTTTTTTTGTTCTTTTTCTGATAATAATTTAAATAGAACAGTGGAGTGAATGTAATGCACGCAACATGCCCATGTGAGCTCTTTATTTAATAGTCTATAGGAGAATATACACAAGAACAGTATAGCACTGTTCCTATTTCCTCTGCAGATAGTCCAGTTATCACCCATAACATAAATCTCATCAAGCCATCTTGAAAATTGTCAGAGGAAATTTCATCTCTGCGTAACTTCTCTTTTACAATTGCACAATTGTCCCTTAATTAACAAATTACCTGTCCTTTGTTCAGATTGATTGTTTTCAGTGTTACACCCAGTGTTAGTGTTACTCCATGTTAATACATACCAACTGAACATTAGTCGGGAAAATATTGTCGTGACTTCTGCCCAATAATATAAATGACAACTAAACTAAAAGCCATTAATATTTTTATTTACTTTACTTCATCTTGCTTTGTTTTATATACTGGCAATTTTAATACCGGTATTCAATTTCTGGACACTTTTTAACATGACCAAGATTTTAACTATTGTGTTGCTTTAAATAACTTTAAATCATAAACTTAATCAAAGTTTTGACCGCAATACTGATGCTTAACATCTATGCTTGTTAAATTAAATTTCAATAGTGTTAAATTTAGAAAATCTAATGAAACTAAATGAATGTGTGCATTGAAGTGATATTCATTGCTACTTTGTTAATTTGCTGTTAATGTTAGTGGTTATGCTGTCTGGCTTCGCTTATGCAGGTGTTATAAGACCCCTGGCTTCCAAAGAGAATCTTGGCTGCTTCTCTCCTCCTGCTCAGTCACTGCAATCTGCCACCACCTCGCTCAACTCAAGCAGCAATTCTATGCCTCGTCAATCATCTTTGCCACATGACCTTGCAAGACAGTCATTGGGTTTGCCGGTGTCATCAAGTCCTGCCCAAACTCCTCTTACGGCTCCAGCAGGTACCAAACTATAAATTCTGATACGTTTTTAGTCTTATTGTTTATTAGCAGATTCAATGATAGATACTGTATTCTATTTTCCAGGATTTGGCCTTAGGGACAGCGATGGCAACTGTCAAAAAAGTGTGTTCTGGGATCCAGTTGGGGGAATCTTACTATGGCCTCAGGAAAAGTCAAAGTTACCATCCAACTATTCCTTCAGTGCTGATTTAATTCACCGGTTGTCTGCACCTGACAAAAAAGTTCGATCTCCTGCCTCTACTTCGGTATCAGTTGGTGCATCATGTGTATGTATAAACTAAATTTATAGTAGTTTTGTTAATAGATCTCCAATACTTTCATTAAGTAGGTTGCTTGTTCGCTGTCTCTGCAGGTAAATAGACAATTGCATTATTTGGATGTACGTCGAAGTTCTGTTCCAACTGATATCAGCCTGGAGCTGTTGCGCCGACTGACAGAGCAGCCCTCAGTACCAGGGCGCTCATCAAGCAACAATAATAACAGTAATGGTAAAACCAGAAACAGCCGGGTCAAGAAAGTTCTGCGCAGGTAAACGCAACAGTGTCTGTGCACATCAATAAAATTAATATCCGAAGTGGATATTCACACTAAATGATGGGGGAGTACTAGTAGTTATTTTCTCTTGTGTTATTTAGGCGCAGTTCTGGAGGACCCGAACTGTTTCTCAATGACTGCAGTATAGATAGCAGTACCTGGCAGCGCTGGCGCCGCGAGGTTCTGCTAATCCAACGAATGGGAGTTACAGACCCCACTCCTGTGTTGGAACCCTTACTGTCTCGTAGGAGAGGTTCACTGCCAGTGGAAGTACTGGCAGCTACCCAATCAGGTCTGTTTTATACAGCAAAGACCCCCTTTTATCAGATAATGTCAAATGCAAATTGAATAATAACCAATACTTTTTTCTTCTTTTGTTGTCTAGGACCACGTTCACCAGAGGAGAAACTATAACTCTTCTAATACAGATTAAGACGTGGTTTATTATGTGGCATGTAGTGAAAGCACTCAATAACAATTTTGAATTGTTTTATACAATTTTGAAGAAACAGTTGGGAACAGAACCCTTGAAACACAATGACAGCTTACTGGGTGTGTGGTTTTGAATTTCTCTTTCAGATAATTCCATTGGAGGAAATAGACTGTGTGAAGTTCAACAATGATGACGTGAGGAAAGATCACTTTCAAACTGCCAACAAGAAAATGTTGTGAAATTGAAAATCAAACAATAATGTGACCTATAAATGTAGATATAATTTAAGTATTTTTCTTTCTATGTTATTTTGAAGTTGTTGTTTGTATGTTTATGTTCTGTTCTATTTATTAACAAATTTAAAATATTCTGGGTCTTGACAGCAGATGTCCCTTTGCATATACTCTCAGTTGCCCAATGAATATGTGGTGGAACATAGGTGTAGTTATTGATATTTATTTTGACCTGTATACAGTATCTTGTTCCTTTATTTCAATAATTGTGGCTCTGAATTATGCTTTTCTCTGCACCTCAGGAGCTTTGCTGGTGTGCACTATCCAGTCCTCTTAATCCTGAATCTAAACATGGCCTCAATTTCAAAAATTCTGTCACTTCCAATTAAAGATCAAGTTGAGATTTTAATTTAATGACAAGCTGTACTGTGTTTAATGACAAGATACAATGAAAATTGAATCTCTAAGACTTTAAAACTTCCAGTTTTATCTTTTTTTTATTATTTAACCTTGCTTACATAATTTATAGATGTAATTACCTGCAACCATTCAGAGCCTCAGCCCTTTTTTTTTGCCTTCTCAACTTTCTTGCTCAAGCAAATATTTGTTGTAGACATGTTCTTGTGAGTATCATGTTGTGATGGTTTAAGATAATTTGCAATACTAGCTAATGTTAATTACAGGGCAATGAAACTAAGTTCAAGGCTGTAATGTAGTAGTCCACATTTCAACATTTCACCAGCAATGGCAGTGACACAATTTGCTCTGTCTTTCTTTCTCTCTTATCATTTCCTTTTCAATCCTGAAGGTGGAACAGACAGTTTCTAAGTAGATTCTAAATTTTTTTTCACTCAGTAAATCACAACTTTATCTAATCTAATATTGTACAACATTTCTGAAATGAATAACCAAAATGTCTTTGATACCGGCAGAGTGCTTCTTTAAAACATTACAGTGTCACCGTTTCTGAACATTGTGGACTTGTTTTTATTTTTATCAATTAAGTTCCTAAGTTTTCAGGTTTCTCTCCATGTATTGTGCATTGTTTTAACCATAAGAGTTACATTGGTTGTTATCACCCCATTGTACTAAAAATGATATTAGAGTACCTGTTTAAATGGGATGAGATCTAAGTGAAAGTAAAAGTTCAGTGCGTGGTTTGGTTTTACCATGTTTGACTGGAGGTAAATCTTGAAGTGCTAATATTCATAATAAGAGGAATAATTGTGTTTATATTTTTTAGGGACCAGATCATCACATTTTTCCCATTTCATATCTTCACTTTTGTTACTCAAAAATCTTACCTGTCCTCAGTTTTGTGATTAAATTTTTGTCCCTTTCTGTGGCAGTTGTTGTTGCCAGCCATACATAAACCATTATGTTCGTTCTTTGCTTCAGACAATCTAGCAGATGAATGAGATACGATTCTTGATAACCATCATTTGGTCATGTTACCACTTTCCAATAATGTTTCTTACATATTTTCTATGACTTTTGTCTCTTAAAAGTGCAATAATTAACAATTGTTATTTGAACTGAGAGTTTATCTGTTAAATTGTGTTCTGTGACTACTGAATCCCAGTCTTTTGAACATGGTAACTTGTTTGTTACCGTACTCGAGAGCTTGTCCACTTAAAGATTGTTTCCATAAGAGATAATAGTTCCAGCAACTTCAATGACATAGGTTTTGCAATTATGTTTAAACTTGTTGGAATGATTAGCATGGCTGGTCAGATGCCTGTTCTTGTCAACATGACTTATTTTGATGAGTATAAATCCTGCCTCAGCTGTTGTTATTGCCCATCACTATTAGCTCTCTGGGGTAAAGTTATGTAAATAATTCCCTTGTCTAGTAAAGGACTATCCTTTTCCTGATGTTTCTTGAATGATCTGTTTCAGACATACCAAAAATGACCTATTGTTCAAAATCTTCCTAGTCAATTTAAAAAGGAAATAAAATTGTACATTTGAAGTGTCCCTAAATTTAATCTGCAGTTTACCCTTTGTGATTTTACTTCAGTTTTCTGTTGTGTTGTTTTTGAATTTTACTTTTTATATTTGACAAACTGTAGAACTACTCAGCTGATATTTTAGTTTATTTTACACCTGTTAATTAATAATCAAGACAGAGAGTTATAAATGTTATGTTATTTTTCCTTGTATGTTTCTTTGATAATTTACATAGACGTGACTTTGACCTGAAAGCATAATTACCTTTTCATCTTCCGGATCCTTTTAAATTGTTGTTAATGTGATACAGGTCTCTAAAATTGATGTGATATGTGCCATCTTCTGCTTGTCTGGATTACAAATTGTTCACTTTATGTAATTATTGTTATGTTTTCTTACTGATAGAATTCCCTGTGCCAAAAATTTTGGCCTGACTGGTTTGCTGTATTACTGTCAACTTCCTCCCTTCATTTTCTTTGCTTCAAACAAAGCTGTTTAAAACTCTACTTGTGAACTCAACTAGGATTACTGATGTTTGATGTCTGTTTCCCAAGGTTGATAATACATGTCTCTACGTTTATTGACAGAAACGACAATGCACATACATCAAAAAAGGTGTCTGTGCTCCATCCCCTTCTCTTTCCCCTCTCCGCCATGCACACTACAAATATGAGACCCATTCTGCTAGCAATATCATTATTCATTGAATTAGCTCTATTGGTCTAAAAAGTCTCTGGATTATTTCCAATCGTGAATTACAACTTTTATTCGAGGGAAGGAAGTGAAAACTGTTCAGTATTACTGTTAAGTTTTTGTTATAGGACTATCATATCTATCGTGTTCAATTTTCTGCAGTTGTTTCAAATTCTATATGTACCTTTTTGTGAGAAGAAATCTATTAATTTATTTATATGCTCTCACTTACACTGTCAGGCTCCATTGACTATTAATGGTTTGTTTGTGATCTATGTTTTAAGTGTTTGCAACTTTCAATTTCCACATTCACATAGATCTATGGTAATTTTGTGTTCTATCTCTGTTACTTTCCTGAACGTCCACTGGCATGTTAAATTACCTGAGACTTTAAACTAAATGTTTTGAATAAGATATAAGGATATGTTTATCGAGGGAGGACCTCCAGATATTGCTATGTTGAATATTTCTTTCTGTACAATTTAACATATTATCCATAAACTGGTATCACTAAAAAACTTTCTCTGAACAAATTTCAGCAACAACGGCAACGAACCAAAAATATGTGTCAAAATGTTGGTTTTGTCATATGGACATATATTTATATATATTTTGAGATTGTACCTGATCTTCTCAGTATGTAGTAGCCTGTTTCTGTTTTCCCTCTTACACAGTAATATAGACTTTCTGATGCCAATTTAAATGTTGCTACCAAAAGGTGTTCAGAAGTAATAAGAGACACTTTCTGAAGTGAGATTTCATAGTTTTGGTCATGTTTTCATCTGCTGTATTGTCATTTGATTCATAGTAAAATCTAGTCTTTAAACCCCCATTTAAGTTGAGTGTTCAATTCTATATGTCTCACTCTACACTTGCTATATTTTATTTTGTGATCTTGATTTCTTTACACAACGTGTCACACTAATGAAAACAAATAAGATTTGAAATTGTGTTTAAAGGAGATTTTTTTAAGGCTATTGATGAGCTGGTGAATACCAAAGACACATCATTTAATTTCAGCTTTTGTTTTTCTTTTGTTTCTTTTTTATAAAGTTTATTTTATAATTCCAACCACGTGTAAAATATCATTTAGTCAAAGATGTAAACTGTGGCAAGCCTTTTGTTGTGAACATGTAAATTGAGTTTCAGTGCAGCCCCTCTTCCTCTTAGTTTGCAAGTCAAAATTATCGTTTGTGTGTCTATGAAATATGTGTTGAGACTGTATCGCGTACTTCCTGTTTTTCTATCCTTTTCTGTTCACTGTTGGTCATTTTACTGTCATCTTGATCAGATTTCGTAAAAATTGATTTTTTTATGTGTTCTAAGAATTGTTTTTAGGAGGTTTGTGATTGCAAGAGAGTGGTTGTGTACTGACACCAAAAATTAATGGGTGCTAACATCTGTTTGTTAATATGGCAAAGTAATGTGGAAAATGAATCCACTAAAAATAAAGTGTCTATCATCAATTTCTGTTGACTATAATATTTATATTCTTCACACTCTTCTTCCTAGTAAATCAAGGAAACCAAACAAATGGAAATGAACAAATCGACATGCTCTGCATAGCAGCTGATATAAGATTCTGCCCAGGACTGTACGCCACCCTGGGCGGTAGGCAGACGACTCAAAGAGACGACTGCACACGAAGCAACCATCTCATGGCGAGTTCCGGCGAGTAAACGGTGTGGACAAGAAGATCTGTCTACCACGATGAACAGAGTCAGGCTCATTCAGGAGGCCAGTAAGTAATTTGAACTGCGGAGAGTGGAATCAGGGCATTGCTTTGGCTTATTGGTCAAAATTAAACTGACGCATTCACAGGTACTGCTAAATCATTGTGCGCCTAGTGAGGTTAATGGTGTGTCCCCGTCATAAAGAATACCTTTCTTCCACCAATAAGTCATAAATTTGTTGAAAGAAAAAAGTAACGTCATTATCGTTGTTCTTTTTTGTCCGCAAGAGAACTAACTGTGGGTGCACCGATGGGAGGGGAGAGAAGTCAGATGAAGATGACACTGACCAGCACTCGAGAGGATAGTAGGCCGCGCGTTCCCGGGATGGTTGGGCCGTGTGATACGGGGCGAGCGTGTTACCCCCCACCCCTTCCCCCCAAACCCTCCGCAAGACCCAGCTACCCGCGCACCCACACCGTGACCTGAACACGAACCGCCAATGTGATATCTAATCCAATCCCAATTTCCATCACGCGTCTTATGTAAGCTATCGCAAGTAACAAAGAGAAGTGGGGGCTTGTTGGTGATAAATCGGTCTGTCTCGGCAGGGGTGGTCAGAGCGTGTCCCCGTGCTCGCCACGATCCGAGGGTGACTTCAGACCCTTTAGACACATCATGGGGTAGAAAAGCATCGTGGGTGCGTCATATGGTGGATCGCACCACCGTCTAAGACTTGTGCCGTACTGCGGCAAAGCAAGAGGGTGCGGCCGTGTGCCTTAGGAGTGCAGAACGGAAGTGCATCAGCAGGGAAGTCCCAAACACTAAAACCTCTTTCGAAGGAACTTAAAATGTTTGCATTGCCAGGGTTTGACACATGCTCAAAGAGAATTTCAACATTCCCATTGGCAGAACATTGTATATTCGTTTTTGAAAGCAGACCCAGGATTTTTAATTAAAAGAGCCAAACATATCATTGTCTTTTGAAAGTAATGAACAGCAGATTTTTGAACAATTGGAAGTGGCTTCGGGCCTTTAGAGCTGAGAATGTATTTTTCTATCTTCTGTCGCCGATCAGTTCAGCCCCCTTGAACTCACCCCACCCAACCAACGCCTTACGTGGGAAAATAAAAATAATAACTAAATCAGCTATTACGCCTCTCGATAAGTACACGCTTTGTTGCGCAACGGCGGTCCACCCACGCGAGGGTGCCCCGGGTGCCCCGCGGCTGCGTTGGGCTTAACTTCTGCACGGCTCAGGATGGAATACCCACGCGGTTGAACTTTCTCTGCTTTCACCATGGCATATCGCCGCCGAAAAACAAAATAACGATTCGATACGTGTGCCCACGCGAGGCAAAGTAGCCAAACCATTGTAAGAGATAGGGGAAAAGTAACAAACACCACTTTCTTTCTACTTTCTTTTTTTATAAGGATAAGGCAAAGAGAAAGCCACGAAGAAGACGAAACCAGACAATCATTGTTATGAACTTCTTTTTGTTCCCGGCTTATCTGTGCACCTGCGCTGCTGCTGCTGCGCAATAATGTGTTCGCAATTATAAGAAAATTTGGTAAATGTGGTGCCGGTTGTCGATGTAACTGCGTGTAATACAACAAGCTACATCGCACGTAGGTGCGTGCGTTAAAAGAATCACAAATATTAAATGTGAATAGACGTCAGGTCAGACGTCATAGTAAAGACTCTGGTCCATCCAGTGTACAGATCGGTCGGGCAATGGCTTGAACAGTCGCGCTGTACATTTTTATCGGCAGTGTGTCTACTACTGTGTGAAAGAAAAAACACCCCGTATTCCCAACGACGGATTCCATATGCAGAGACCATTAGTTCAAAGACCCGCTTTTAAATATGAGTGCAGGGAGGTGGAGTGAGTTGGGAATTCCCTCGCGGGTCCACTGCGAACTAAGCTTTGCATGGTCTTTAATAATGGATGAGTGGGTCGGACGATATTATTCCCTGTTGCCTTAACGGCACCTACTTTGAGAAAAAGTACGAGGTGGGAGGGGGCCTGCAGAAGATTCGGATTATTGCTCATTTTACGGTTTATAAGTGTCCGAATATGCGTTATATTGGTGCCAAGAGGACGACCAGCACTGTACGTATTTCGGGCAGTGTGGAATCGGATTAACATGTACGTGAGGATGGCCAGCACGGGGCTTCTGAGGCGCTGTTTTCGCACTTCGTTCGGGTTGGGTCGGAATTGATTAAAATGTAGGTCAGTCGAAATATTTGGTTCGTGATCGACAGTTTAAGTAATCACAAAGTGAAGTGCGTGTCTAGACGTTTAATGGTTGATGAGATTGTGGAAAGCTCAACAGCTAAAACAAAAGAGATAGATAGAGATAGATAGATAGATAGATAGATAGATAGATAGATAGACAGACAGACAGACAGACAGACAGACAGACAGACAGACAGACAGACAGACAGACGCAATACGCGGTACAAACGTGACGCGTGAGGTGTCTGTATGCATCCGACTTTGAGATAAGCTTCTTTTTTTTCATCAGAGAATTCTCTGAAGTCATTTTTTTACTTAGTGCCAGTGCCACGCATGAGAGATGACAACATGACCTTCCTTTATTCCAACTGTCCCTATTCTCCCCCCACGAAAGCGGGCGACCTGATGATGGCCGTTGTTTAGCTCAGGACTTTTCGAGTCAATGACTAACACATCACACCACTTTTTCCATTTTTTCCCTGTTTGGCCTGTTTCTCCCCGCCCCGCCCCGCCCCGCCCGGGTCGCGGGGTCGCCCCCTCACACCATCATATCATGCGTGGACCTAGCCGAATGCCGCCGGCAGCGGTGCTCAATCAGCTGATGGGCACGGACAGCTGCCGCCTTGGCTGCCGCCCGATAGCCACACCGCACCCTCGTGCACGGGACAGACATCGCCTGACTTCCCCCTTCTCATCCGATCGACTCGGTTCAATAGACGCGTGCTCTATAGCCAGGGGTTCTTTTCAATCAGTCGGATGCGAAACGACACCGAGTTTGCAAATTAGCAGAAAATGGATGGCGATGGATGGACTGCCATTGAACAAGTAACAGAAGGGGTTGCCTGAGTCGTCCTTTTACCTTGTGTATACATTGCCGCCTGCACGCGTGCGCGCTCTTTGCCTTTTTTACGGGTGACGACAAACGCGCCATGAGCGTAAAAAATATAAAGTTTGCCTGTGTGCTAAGATTACGGAAGACTTAGCTTGCACCGCTCAGTGCTATTAGCTTAGCTACACACACACCGTTATTTAGATACTGTGACGGCACATTCTATATCACGTGAATTACGTCATGTTATTTAGAATATCATGTCACATTCGTTAGAACATGACATACCCCTTCATCGCTCAGCCCTCACGGGACCATGGTAGGCGTAAGGGAAGGTGGGGTATTTTGGGACACGGGACACGGGGTACATTGGGACAGTAGCAATCTCATCTATTTGTAACAGTATTTGCATGCTGAAAAAATTGACCGACTGCCCATGTGAGCATATTTCATGATGGCATCAGTGTTGGGATGGGAAGATTGCACATCATGTCTGATGTACAGAAAATATCAAATAACGATGAGCTCAAAAATCTGTTGAAAGTAAGATACCCTCTTATTTTAGTTTGCAATTTTCTAGGCGAACTGAAATGCGGTAGCAAATCGCGCAAGTGGCTAGTCGGTAGGTAGTTCCCTACGACACATTTAGCAAGTAAGGATTTTGAGTTCAATCCCAAAATACCCAAGAAAAGGAAAGGAATCACGGGGAAGGCGATTAAGTGCACGTTGGGACAGTTCATCAAAAGTGACCGATATAACACTTCAAAAAAATCCAAAATTGTCTCATTTTGTAGATGACTGGCCTATTTGGACTTCCAGACAGCAAGGCGGTATGTATGTTGTATACATTTCACAGGAAAGCGCGTCAACTGTCCCAATGTGCCCCATTCCATGTATTCATGGTGCCCCAATGTGCCCCGAACCCGGGCACAGGCGGGGCGAGTAGGCAACCCGCCCGCACTCGTGCGTGCGGTACAGTCTAACTACAGAAGTGTGCGGGGTTAATCAGCCACCTGGTATGTCACAGCAGAACAATAAGTGTGACATGAGTCTAAACCATGTGACACAAATCACATTATACGTAATTTGACGTCACAGTACTTGAATAACGGCGCAGTTATTTAAGAGATGGGTGGGGGCTAGTCATATGTAAGAGAATTTGCACGGGTCCGAAACAAATTGCCCGAAGTGTAATAGTTCTCACAGTTCATTTGTTTGCTTTCGGTGCTAAAAATTAAAATGAGTCGCGATCTTTTAAATTTCCTTTTGGTTTGATGTGGTTTAAGAGGGTAGGAAAACCTACCAGCTAACTTGCATGATGCGGCACAGTTTGCCATTAAAAAGAAAACACCCTGTAAAACATGGGCGAGGTTGTGAAAATTATATTAAAATCGATCTAAGAGTTTGTAATTGACAAAGTAACGACAGCGTGGAAATTTGTCTTGAGATGAGTAGCTAACAGTTGCGATTGCATGTACACAACGAACAAGTGCTAGAGAGGCGTTCCTCTCCGTACGTGATCGTGATGCGGTTCTTTGATACGAGTGCGGCTGTGTACCGAGTAAAAGAATATACTTGGCACGGATCGCAGCGCGCTACTTTGCTGCTGGATGTTTATGGTTGGCCTAATCCTGGGCCCGCGCATGAAAATGTTGCAAATACTTGTTGGGTCAGGATGACAAGGCAATGGCGAGCTCGTGCATCCGTCCGCCCCCCCCCCCTCTCCCGTCCCCCCTGATCTATCTCTCCCCTCCCACCGGAACTGTCAAGCAGCAGTCCAGTGTACCGCATATGAACCGTACGCGTGGCGCACTTTTATTCCGTTTGCAATTCTACACTGTTAACTTAGGCGCGAGACTGCTATAAAGTACCTAATGTAGAGGAATTGCTATGCATTAGCTCATGTATAGAACAGTTTTATACATTGCCCAATGTATTGAAGCAACCCTTATGTTTATCGCGGTACTACATACTACATTAGAGATCGTCCAACAGCAAGTACCGATTGTTTCAGAGCAGAGACAGCGTTACTGGTTTGCCTTCTCCCTGGCACATACGGCGCCAAGGATTATGCAAACCTAAACACCTTAGTGAAACACCCGGTATCTCATTTTTCTCGGATTAATTCGCCAAATGACGGGAGGATCTTAGCGCCTGTGAGACTCGGGGTAGGCCAGCCCGCAATACACGCATGCACTAAGGACAAGATGTTGCCTACCTCTCAGGCACTAGAAGAGCTAGCAGAGACTAAACGGTGGATAAAAACGTACTTTCCGCAGGGATGATTTGTTTGGTGTCTACGTTAGCTAAAGTATATCAGGTCAAAATGTTGATTTACCGTAGATTTTTGTCATTGATTGCAAGCTATCATGCACTGTAAACTCAAGTGTGTACATAGTGCACTCTTCCTTGTGTGTACTTGAAAGCACACACGAGAAAGTGTGTGCCTGGCATGGCACACACTTGGAGGTGTGTACTTGTCACAGGGCCACTCTATGTGGCGCGAACCGGGTGATTCAGAGCAGCGCCGCCGTGTTGCGGGTTTGCCTATCCTCGACTCGGCGGGCGCACGGGTGAGAGGTGAGGAGGAGAGGGGTCCCCTCACACACAAATAAGTGTGTGCCATGCATGTATACACTTCCTGCCATGCCAGGCACACACTTCCTTGTGCTTTCAAGTACACACAAGGAAGAGTGTACCATGTACACACTTGGGTTTACAGTGTGGCCTTCTAGTTAATGAAGAAAAGTTATTTGTAATTTCTTAAGGGAAAATTCCTCGACTCTACGTATTTTCCCTTGTTTCAAGCAAGACAGAGATTTTCTCGGTGCATAGGCCCGGCCGGCCGCGGCGGCGCGCGTGTCGAGTCTCGCGCCGCCCGCGGGGCCAGGGCTGCCAACGGCCTCTGCTGTCGCCCCGCGCGCCGGCACGTGGGCGCGCTGCGCTGCGCTGCGTGGCTCTGGGCCCGCGGTCCGCACGTGAGCGCGGTTGGGCGCGGAGGGTTGGCAGTGCTCGCGGCGTTGGCAGCCCCTCTCCGCTCCCCTCCCGCGGCCGCCGCCAGCCCCGCCAGCCCAGCCCGCGCGCGCGCAGGGCGCAGGCAGCTCGGCTCAGTGCGCCAGCGGCCAACGTACCGGGCAGTCCCGTCCCCGTCCCGTCGCCTCTCTGCCCGTCCGTCCGTCGCGGTGCCCGGTGGAGGGGGAGCAGTGCTAGCGTCGTCTGCTAGTGTCGTCTGCTGAGCGGGCTGCCGGCCGTACACCTGTGATATAACTTATTACTTTAATTTATTATTACTCTGTAGTGAAGTAAACGCGAGAAACAAATCAAGATGGAGAAGCAAATCCCAGCCGTGTTCGCGCCCAACGCCAAGCTGTCCAAGAATGCGTTCGTCAGTAGCATGGCGCAGTACGAGGAGATGTACAAGAAGTCCATCGACAACCCCGAGGAATTCTGGCTGCCCGTATACAAGCAGTTCCACTGGGAGACGAGTTACACGCCCGGCAAGTTCCTGGACTACAACTTCGACATGGGCAAGGGCCCCGTGCAGATCAAGTGGCTGGACGGCGCCACCACCAACATCTGCTATAACCTTTTGGACCGCAACGTTCGCTGCGGAAACGGCGATAAAATAGCGTATTACTGGTGAGTAGACGCCCTTTGTTTTACTCTAGGGTTTTGCTGTGGGACCATGCACTGTTAAAAGCTTACAGTGATTTTCAACGCAAGCTACAAAGCTACAGTGAAAGCATGCAGCATTTAAGCTTACGGTGAGATTCACTGTAGCTAACAATGAAAATAACCGTAGCCTAAAGTGAAAATCACCGTAAGCTACAGTGCTGCAGGCTTCACTGCACTGTGAAAATCACTGTAAGCCTTTAACAGTGTGCGAAATTCGGAATGCGTAGCGCAGGAAAAACAAATAATAAAATGCAAATGAAGGCTGTGCTGTGCTGGCTTTTCCAAGCACATTTGGAAAATCGGAGCTGTCGACAGCCTGCTGGAAACCAAGTTGATGCGACTACGGTTTCCAAGCACATTTGGGAATTCCATGACGTCGTTTTTGCCGTGTAAAGAAATGCTAAGCTGTCGCCTCGTTAAGCTCACTAAACGGTGTGGGTCGCCCTTTTGCTACCAGTTAGAAATGTGAAGTTGTTGTTGCTCGCTAAAGGAGGAGAGACAAAGTGTGGGATTCAGAGAGAGAGAGAGATATATATATACTGGACACTGACCGGCGCGACCATACAACCTGGCCGCGGGCATTTCTCTCGCCTTCCATTTGCCGCATTGACTGACTCAGCGGACTCGGAGCTCAGGCTATAGACGGGCGGTGTCAAGATCAAGGCCTGCCTCGCTCTCTGCCTCTCTACTTCCCTTTGGTTTACTTATCCCCTTCACTGCCGTTTCCTTCCCCTCCCACTTCACTTCACTTCCCTTCATCCCCCCCCTCTCCCCCGGGTTCGCCCAACGGCTTTTAATACTCTCGGGGTACGCGACTGGGACGGACATGTGCGCGCGCCTGGAGCATGTCGGCATTTCGTCACTCCCCCCTCGCACTCTCTCTCTCCCTCTCTCTCGCTCCCTTTCTATTCTATTGCTCCCTTCCAAGGACGCATCGAGGAGGCTTTGCGGAAGGAGTTTCATGGGGCAGGAGCGGCCTTGGAGCGATAGGGGTGAGAGTAAGAGGTCGTGACGAAGGACAAGAAATATTCCTCTCGAAAAAAAGTCGGGCAAGCAAAATAATCTCTGAAAGAAAAAAAAATCCAAACGCGTCTTTTCATTGTTGCAATTCATAGCGTCGTTTCTGGCGTAGGAAATGAGGGAGGAAAGATCCCACGTCGGTTGATTTTGGGTTGATCGCGGGTTGTTGCGGCTGTGGTTAAAGTTGTGCCGGGTCGCGGGCGGGCGGCGCAGAGCGCGCGGGACACGCAGAGCGGAGCCCTTTCGTCCAGTCAGCACCGCACCACGCGCCGCCCGGGACTTTTGCAAGTCAAGCCCCCGAACACGGCGCGCTGCGGAGCGCACACTATAGCAGCAATGGTCTACATTGTGGTGAGAGGTGTCGGAGACCGCTCGACCATGAACACATATAATGGCTGTTGTAAATATGCAAGGCGAGTCTTTGCGCCGTCGTCGTGGACTCGTGAGAGCTGCGTTATTATTGGGGCAGCGTGATTTAAAATCTATTTTTAAAACATTGTTCTTTCAGTCGTGCACAAATGCTCTCCATAGTATTCAGCCTGTAAGCTGTCAGCGCGTTTGCAAAGTGTGAGTGAGAGACAAACAAGCACGTGAGCGCGTGAAGCTCCGGGTAACTCGACGAGTGAACGCCACTATCGACCATCGCACTACCGCCGGCCGCGGCAAAGTTAAGTGTGACGCGTGCCGTCCGGCGCCCCGCCAGCGCGCCAGCCAGCGCCAGTCACACGTCACGCGGAGGCGCGGCGGCGCTCCGACGGGCGCGCCCCTGCACGGCCTACCACGCCCCGCCCGCCCCGCCAACCGGGCCGCGCCGCGCCCCGCCGCGCCTCCAGCCTGGACACTCCTCATCCCCGCCCAGCCGCTACTGCCAGCAGCCAGGGCCCCCGAGCGCACCCGGGTAGGCAGCGCGCGCGCACGCGTGTGCCCGTGTTGCCTACTTGGCAGGCGCTCTCCGCCGCCCTCGCCCTGGTCAGCCGGCCCTAGCAGGCAGCGTGCGCGCACGCGTGTGCCAGTGTTGCGTTCTTATCAGATGTCTCTTGCAATCTGTTTTCGCCCACACAGTTTTGAGAAACAAGGGAGAAACCGGGAGAAACAGACACAAAATTACACTGATAAACTAAGTGTTCAACTGCTCAACACTTCTAAGTGTGCAACTGTAAGTTAAATACTTGCAAGTGTGCAACTGCAAGTTGAATATTTGCAAGTGTGCAACTCGGTAGGCGTGCACTTGCAAGTGTGCAACTCCTCGGTTGAGCACTTCCTACACACGAAGCTTCCAATCGAAGGAAGTGTTCAACCGAGTAGTTGCACACTTGCAAGTGCACATCTACCGAGTTTCACACTTGCAAGTGTACGACTATGGAGTTGCACACTTGCAAGTATTCAACTTGCAGTTGCACACTTACAAGTGTTGAGCAGTTGAACACTTAGTTTATCAGTGTAATTTTGTGTCACATGTAACACTCTTCCTTTGCGGTGTTTGCATTAAGTATTGTAGCCGGGGGAGCCAGCCCCAACAATGGGGCCCGAGGCCCGAATGCAGACCGAAAGTCGAGAGCGGCCGGCTCGATGTCGGTGACTTAGACTGAAAACCGTCAAGTTTTTAGTAGATGATAAATTATACTTAACTGAAATTAATAAGACAAGTCTGATTAAGTTTGACATAACTATTATGTGTCATTTCTCGTACTCTCATGCGTAGTGCAGAGAGGCACAAGGTGTGAGGTCATCCAGTAGTGTAGAGGCGCAGGATGCATTTTTTCGTACCAAGATTAATACTCGTTCTTCCATCACCGTCTAGGTGAGAATGAGTAGCAAAGAACGATAGTAAAAAAATCAGGCACGCCCAAAAAAGAAATAATATTGTATTGTTAGTTCTTTCATGGACATAATTTCTGTCAAAATATCGCAAAAATTTCATCCTTTCAATTCTCTTTGACCTGCCTCTAAGAAATGTAAGCGCGCCTTCTCTGCCCCTTCCCTTTAGCTTTTTTTTTATTGCTCCATGACCTCCACCCTCTCTCCGACTGCCTCCCCAGTTTGGCTCGGCCCGGAGCCCCTCGCCAGAAAGTTGCAACTGGAAAGGAGGAGGAGGCGGTGGGGGTTGGCAGGAGCCCCACCGTCGCCCACGTGCTCCATTTCCACGCCGTGACGTCACAACTGTGTGACCCGCACTGTAAAAAATATTCTGAAATTTAAGACCAAAATGTATCTTAAATTTAATAACATTTTCAGTTGTTCTTAAACGTAAGAACAGATTATGATATTTAAGAAGTTTTCTTAATTTTGCAAACCAGGTTATGAAAATTCTGATAAGGGTAATTAAATTTTATAA